GGCTACATAGTTTACATGGGGACTTGATTTATCTGAACTCTCATTCCCACATCAGTGCTCAGTACTACTCCAAAAATGTAATTTTGCTCATAGTTTTAATAAAACTTCCTTCCTTTTGGTTGAGATAATTTATTGAACCCTTTAGCTTAAAAAGCTCGTTTTGGAAACAATGTTCCCCTTTTTAGTTTAAAACTCTTTCAAAACTTCTTAGTTTCCTTTTAACTTAAATGTAAAAACATTTATCAGCCTTTAGGGAATACTTAATCCCCTTTATAACTTTAGAGGAATGACCTCAACTCTTGCTCTTACTTAACTTGAAAATTTAACTCTTAGGGAATACATAGTGCCCTTATACCTTTTTATGCCTTTTTGAGAAATGAACTCAACCTTTACTCTTTTCATTTACTCGAACTTGAGCCTTAAAAAATATTAAAAACGTTTAAGTAAGACTCTAAGAACTTTGAAAACTTTACTCTTACTCTCTTTATAACTTTAGACTTAACTTCTTACTTTCTTAACTTTGGTTCTAATTTCCCTTGAATTAGGATTATGGATTCAAGGATCATGATCTCATGTTTATGGATGATTTCATGATGTTTAGATGTAATCTAGAGTGTTGGAATCAACTAGGAATGAAGGGTACATCACTTAGGAACTAGTACGAAAATATAGTGAAAGAACGGGGTCTCCAGGGATTATTGGCGCTGTGAGAGGTGTGGAGAGCCAGGGCCTATTGGATAGACCTTGGTCGGGGGCTCTATGGCTGGCGCGCCGCGCCAGGGCCTGTCAGTCAGAGCCTTCCTTGAGGCTCTCTGGCAGGCGCGGCGTCCCAAGGGGTGTCTGACGGGACCTCCGACTTTTATTCTTCGTTTTTCATATGTAAACCTCCCAAACTCCCATTAATCCCTCCCCAAACACTTAGTATCCCTAATTAACTCATTACCCAATAGTTTAGACCCGAAACAGTACAGAAATATGAATCAAAACTACTAGATATTCTACAATTCAATCAACAAGAACTTCACAACTTTTCATCAAGAACTTCAAGATTTTCATTCAAATAACTCTAAATTGTTGTATTGAATCAAGTTGTAGGGTGCGTGAAGGGAACGACCACCGAATGATCTCACATACCTTGATAAAGATCACCCCCGACGAAATCCATGCAAGGATCTTGGCGTTCATGGACGATTCTTGGTCTTCATCTTCTTTTCTCATTTTATCCCAAACCCTAAGAGTTCTTAAATATTGAAAAACTTATTTGGGACTTGTTTTCACCCCTAATATAACCTTAAAAAATTAAGAAATACTAGGGTGAAAAGACAACTTTTCCTTTACTAAAATTCGGATTGGACTTTTCTCAGTCCAATAACCCAACTTCTGAAAGACATTTCTCCCTCATACGACATTGGAGTTGTGCAAACTCGGCAGCGTTGGAAAGATATTCTCAAGTTATTTCCAACCATATAAAGAACTCACCCAAAGTTCTTTTGAGATGGAAGTTATGGCCATTTGAAAATGACCAAAACTCGCTGGAAATTTTCCAGATTTCCTTACTTATTTTCAAAAAAAATTATTCTTGGCTTCTTAGCTTATTCTTAGTTTATTCTAATTACAAGATGTTAGACATCTGTCCAACAATTATATAAGAAAAAGTTGGGTAACTGCGTATCTTTCTGGTGATACTCTCTCATAATCAATTTTTATGGCACCGTGCCACATTTTTGGTGATTTCTTTCCCATATCTGATTCCGTGTAGCACTATACCATATTTTCAGTTATTTCAAGAGAATTATGGTAGGTAGAGATTGTAACTGATGGTGATTAGCATCCCCTCAAACTAATGGTGGTCAACGAACAGTAACACATTGTTTGAATGGTTGTAGCCTGTTGTATTGTATTGTGTTATTAGTTTAAATATAATATTACGTAATTAAACTTTATATCAAATATGATTGTGAAACTTGATTGTAAAAAACTATGAAGTCACTATAAGGAGTCTGAAGTTTGAAGTGTAAACTCTAAAGGCTAAGAGTGCATCACACTCAACTGTAAACTTTTGAGTAAAGTAAGGAAGACGAAGCACCGGTACTGATGTCAAGATCCTCTTTAAATTTTTGAAAACCTCTTCCACTTTTGCATGCCAGGAAAAAGCATCTTTCTTGGTCAATTTTAGAAAAATTTGTGGCTCCATGTAATTCATCTAACAACTCATCTATATTGGGAATGATTATGTGTTTGGGACAGTGATTTTGTTGAGGCTACAGTAACACACACAAATCTACCAAGATTTATTTTTTTACACTAGCAGAATTGGCTAGCAAAGGGACTTGAACTAGGACGTATGAAATCAAATTTTAATAAAGCTGCAACTTGGTTCTCAATTTCAGTATTTTGACCATGTGGGCAATGATAGGGTCATGTGGGTAATGGTAAAGTCTGATGTTTGGAGGTTAGAATTTGGTAGCAGAGAAATAACATGAGAATGTGCTGTAACTGGTGAAAGAGATGTTGGTTCAGAAACCACAACTAAAATTAATCTAGAAGTGTTTGGATTGGATTACGTGGACCTTCTGATAGCATGTTAAAGATTGGAGAGAAGCTGTGGCTGAATCTGTTTATCTCAAGCATTGGAATTTGTAATGTTTCCCTTGCCAATCGAAAATTATGAACATATCCTTCTAGTTAGCTTGAATTGTCTTGTGATTAGCAAAAAATTTGATATCAAAAACCAAATCAACCCCTCCAATTACAAAAGGGTAGTAATCTTGAATTGAATTTGAAGATTTCGGGCAAACTTTTTTGCAGCATATGATGTGCCCATTCCCTATTTGCAACCGAATGTTAGAACTATTTCTACTGGTAAATTATACTCTTTCACATTTCACAATGGATTCAACAACAAAATAATGCGTGGGACCACTATATTTTAGTATTAAAACCTTTCTATGGTTGATCTCACCCTAACGCTTCATTGTAGCATCAATTCACTTTCCCAAAATGGCATTGAAAGAAATTTCAACAATGTCTGTTTCTTGAGGGTTATCACCAACTACTACATTGACCTCATCAACCTCTTCCAATTGATATTCTCTAGTAATCTCCATGAGAGATAGTTTTGCAGATTTGCATCTGACTGGGTGCAAATTTCTCGTGGAAACGATAACAAAGTCCTTGTGCCATAAGATTTCTCCTCAGCTGCCATGTCCGCATTTGAACAGGTTGGGAAACGTATGGGTTGGAAGAAACATTGTTGCGTGGATTGTGATGTGTAGAGGAAGAATTGTTTTGGGTGTTTCTATAGAATTCAATGGTTGTACAATGGGTTTGTGGATTGGGGTCCAGTTAGGCACTCTATTGCTTCGAGTTGGGCCTAATTTATTTTCAAATTGAAGTGCCAAACTCATAGTCCCGTAAACTGTTCTAGGTTTGTAATCCTAACATCTGATTTAAGTTCCTCTTTCAACCCATTCAAGGACACTCCTAAGAGACAGTGATCCAGCCAATTTATGACCCTAGACGAATGTTTTGCAAATTATTGACGATACCCCAGTATAAAACCCATTTGTTGAATGTTACAAAGGTGTATGGACTCGGGAACTATCAATGTCTTCTTCCTTTTCTTGCCATACAGATTTTCCTCTATTATGGTTTTGGTGACTGGATTCTTCTTGTTGAGGGCAACTAGTCTGGGCTTTCAATGTTGCAACAGTTGCTGCCAGTGAGTCTGTCGTATTTAGTTTAGATGCTGTGGCAAATAATTAGACAAGTGATTCAGCATTGTGAACGCCTTCTTTTGAATTAGACAATCTGGTATTGACCATGTTGGATCGATCTGCTATGATACAAACTGATAGTTACCAAAAGTAGAGAACCGAAGAAATAAAAAAAATCACGTAAATTTATTGGCAATAGTTTGTGCAAGAATCTTAAAAACAGTTATACTAATAAAGTTGTCCGTATGGAGAGGACAATACTCCTGCAATATAGTAGTTTTAATTCTTAATCGCATACCCCAAATAACTAATCCTATTACATATATATGGAGAACATAATAGGATAAGACTGACACCATAAACTACAAACTAGGAATAATATAACTGCTAGATCAACTGTTGGAGCAAATCTAGGGAACAGATCAATTTGCTGTAGAAGTTGTGTTTGTCCAGAACTCTTAAACTCTTTATCCTTTTGTTGAAACTTTCTTTTCAAGTAACTCTTGATAGGTGGGTCAGTATCAAAATCCTACTTCTTGTGCGATATATGATTTTAGAAAAAACAGTGATTTTAAGAATTGGCATTGTGCAGTGCATAGTAAATAGAGTCTGCAAATGTATTAGCCGGATTTGTTTGGTATTCATTTTGTTTCTCTCTCTAATAATTTTTGATATACTTGCTCATGATAAAGAGCCCTTTCGAATGTTTCTTCCACTTGCCCTAGATCTCCTCCACTAATAGAAGCAATGCAGATATTTGAAAGAGATGTAGTATTCTATACTTTTTCCTCGACTTGAGGACGATAATTTGGTCCTACCAGCAAAGCATTTACTAATTTTGTGGTGCTGATTCAAAAGTCTGAAAGCTTTTGGTATTTCCAATTTTTTTTAATTTGGGAAATTCTGAGTGATTGTTGATTTGTTGTCGAAAGATATCTTTCTTCTGTTTGTGAAAATAGGTAGCACCAATTGTTTACCTTTCAAAGTAAAAGAAGATAATATCAATTATTTTCCTATGGCATCTTTTACTTCCTGTTTGTGAAAATTTAAATGGGTACCTGACGTTGTTCGTATACTTGTTGGATATGGGTTCTTACTTAATGTTGTAGAGAAGATTCTTATTAACACCAAAAAATACTTTGAATTTGACAAAGGCATGTAACCTTTGGTTCATGAATTTGAAAGCAAGGTGAAAAGCTTGATGTAACAACTTGGTGGGGTCTTTGAAAGCAGTGCGTGGAGTTAGTCTCAAAATTAATTTAGGTTGCTCTTTCAGAAAACATAATGGTGGTTGGTAGTATTGGAAAAGTTGATTTTGAGAACTGGACCTCAATGCCTTTGGTATAATAGCAAAGGTAGTACAACATGGACATGAGGTGCACGCACGTCATGAGCTCAAATTCTGTTGTGAACCAGATTTTGTATTTAAGTAAAGAAGGATGGAAGGTGACCTATTATCCGTTGAGTTTCGGTAACAGCAACAACAAATTTTCGGTCATAAAAAACTGGTTTCAAAGTTATGACTTTAATTCATGCTGTCCACTTTGTAAAATGACAGAATATGACCAAGAGAAACTGTTGCTATCCCGAAGTTAGAAGTCCTTTCAGAGATTAAGAAATGTGTAAAACCTTTCTGTATTGCAACATATTGATGTTCCAAGGTCCTTTGTATCTTCTTTTGATAAGTAGATCTTTGGGTGTTAAAAGTTGGCAACAAATTTATTTGAGACTTGGAGAATTCCTTTGGTCTAGAAAATGCCTTCCTCATATCTATATTGTGTACTTAAAGTGTTGCTAACTTTACATGATTAGTAGAATGCCAAAAGTGTATTTCTTGTATTGTTCTTTGTTGCACCTTTTTAAAAATCTTGTTTAGAGTATTATTAATTGAAGATTCATTAGCAAGAATTGTATAATAAGGTGATAAATTGAATATTATCTTGCAATATGTAAAACCTTATTGCTTTTCTTGATGATTGAGAAGAATTCAACACTTTGATATGTTCATTGGACTACAAGAACTACAAGTCCGAAATAAGGACTGCAGATGCACAGGATTCCTTCAAGGATGGGGTGGTTGTTTTGGTCACTGGATGCTTAACCGGAAGGGATAAGTTAAAAAGGAAATTCGCCCAGACATTTTTCCTTGCTCCGCAGGACAAGGGTTATTTTGTGTTGAATGATGTTTTTAGGTATGTCGAAGATAATGAGACTGATACCGTTTTAGAAGTGCTTAATTGAACTGAGGATGTGCAGTCATAGATTTTGACCCCTGATCCAGGTTGGATTTTTTTTCTAATTCAATAAATGTACTTGTTCTTTTATCCTCTTAAAATTTTTTACTATTTTCATTTTGAATATAGAACCTACTCATGTGGTTGATCCTCCAAATCTCGACCAAGCTAGCTCACCTACAGAAGAAGTTCAATATGTTGAGGAAAAAGCCAATGACTCTTCGGTAGATGGGAGGCAAGTTGTTGATGAAAGAGAGATTGTTGTGGAAAATGGATCATATTTCAACAAGGACCAGCACCCTACAAATAAAGAATCAGCTAATTCTGTTGCCCAAGAGGATGCTCCAAAGAAGCCGTATGCATCAATTGTTATTTCACAAACAAAGAAAGGGCCAACCAAAATATATGTACCCACCAATACTTCCAGAGTGGCTCCTCTGAAGGCTGTAAAGCAGCCGGTTGCTGCAGTAGCACAAAACGTAGCTCCTGAAGCATCAAATCCTACTACCACTAGTGGAATCGATGTACCTGAATCTAATGATGCTGAAGATGAAGGTATAATCTCTTGAAACCTGTCTGAAATAAACTCAGTACTTTGATCATGTGATGGACATATCTATGTCAGAAAAAATTGAATAGGGATGTCCGTATTTATATTTTATAGCAAATAAAGGAGCATAATAAGTAGATGTGTTTTGAGTTTGATCTAGATGTTGTATTATCAGATCTACTTGCAATCGTCATGTTCATTCTTCTTCTGACTTTCTCAATGCTTTAAGTCCCATTAAGATTACATTGTCATCTAATTTACTTAAATTTTAATTCTTACAGCTGAGGGATACTCTATTTATGTCCGAAATTTGCCTCTAGATGTTACTGTAGCACAACTTGAAGCTGAATTTAAGACAATGGGCCTATTAAGCAAGGATGTGTACAAGTTTGAAGTAATAGGGTTAGTGCAGCACACCTTATATTCATCTTGGTTCACTGACCTACATGTTGTTAATATGTGTCCACTTATTCCCTTTTCTGCAGCAACAAGGATTCTGCTTTGGCTTTGTTGAATTTGAAGATATGAGCTCTATAAACCTGTATGGCACTGTTGATGGAGCTCACATCCTCAAATTCAAAAAAGCCAAATCAGAATCCTTGTTTCTGCAGCAAAGAGAATAAGTGGACACATGATAACAATCTGTAGGTGTTAGTGAACCAAGATGAAAATAATGTATGCTGAACCAACCCTATTATTTCTAACTTGTACACCACCTTTTGTAATAGGCTTATATCTCTTAGATTCAGCTTCGAGTTAGCATACAGTAACATCTAGAGGCAAATTGCAGACATAAATAGAGTATCACGCAGCTCCAAGAATTAAAATCGAAGTAAATCAGATGACAATGTACTCATACTGGGACAGTAAACAATGAGTGAGTCTAAAGCAGAGTAAGCATGACAATGCTAGTAGATCAAATAACCCAACATCTATATCAAACCACATCTACTTATTCATTTGCTCAAAAACTAAATACTAACATGCCTATTCCATTTTTTGTCAGATATAGATGTGTCCATCAAAAGATAGAAGTAATGAGTAAATTTCAGGCAAGTTTCAAAGAAATTGTTACATTCATGTTCAGTATCATTAGTTTCAGGTACATTAACACCACTGGGGGCAGTAGCATTTGATGCTTCAAGAGCTACAGTTTGTGCTACTGCAGCAACCAACTGTTTTACAGCCTTCAGAGGAGACATTCTGGAAGTATTTGTGGGTACCTAAATTTTGATGGCCCTTTCTTTTTTGTGAAGTGACGATTGATGCATATGACTTCTTTGGAGAATCCTCTTGGGCAACAGAATTAGAAGATTCTGTATTTGCTGGGTACTAATCCTCGTTGAAATGAGATACAATTTCCACAACAATCTATCGTTCATCACCAACACGTCTCCCATCTTCCAAAGAGTCGTTGGCCGTTTCCTCAACATGTTGAACTTCTTCCGCATGTGAGACAACTTGGTTGAGATTTGGAGGATTAACGACATGAGTAAGTTTTGGATTCAATATGAAGATAGTAAAAGATTTTAAGAGAAAACAAGAACAACTACACTTATTGATTTAGAAAAGAGAACCAACTTGGATGGGGGGTCGGAACCTCTAACTACACATCCTCAATTGGATTAATCATTTGTGAGACGGTATCAATCTCATTTTCTTATACATAACTTAAAATACCATTCAAAACAAAATAACCGTTATCTTATGGAGCAAGGAAAAATGTCAAGGCGAATTTCCTTTTTAACTTATCTGTCCCTGATAAACTTCCCTTAAAAATAATAATCAACTCATCCTTAATGGAATCCTATGCATCTACAGTCATTATTACGACCTTATAGTTCTTGTAGTCCAATGGACAATGTAAACGTATTGATATTCCGCTCAAACATCAAAAACAATAAGGATTAAATTACATTATTTTCCTGTTCTTTTTAAATTACAAAAATCTCTTAAAATTTATGGATTTTGGATACATTACTAGACTTCCTGGTACATGATTCAAATTTCGGATACATAGTGAGGGATGTATCTATGAGGGGAGGGATGTATCAGAGAGGGGATATTACATCCAGATGCATCACTTGACTTACAGATACATCAGCAGACATCCGGATACATACATGGGATGTATCAGGGGATTTATGTATTTGGGAGGAGATATAATGTATCATCGAGAGGAGAGCGATGTATTCAAGAAGAGATTTTTGAAATACTTTTGAATGATAGAGAATTTTAGAGATTATGATAAAATAAGACGTGTATTCAGAATTTCGAAATGATGGGTGCACTATTACGAAAAGGTAAATCTAAGATTCGAATTTCTAACTTCTCTTAGAGGGGTGCACCCAATCATCATGGCACAATATGATACAACACTTCATATGTGGGTTCACACATATATATTTAAATACTTTTTTAAAAAAATATAATACTATTATATATGATTTCAGGAGTAGAGCATGGGTTCACGTGAACCCGATGACCCCTTCCTGAATACGCCACTGTGTGTATTTAGGTTGTTTTCCTTTTTCAATATTGCAAGATAGTATTCAATTGAATTTATCACCTTATTATGCAATTCTTGCTAAGGCTTCTTCAATTAATATATCTCTAAACAAGATTTAAAATAAGGTGCAACAGTTCTAACTCCGGGTATAACAACAGTTCCTCTCGGTCATTTTCTATCATATTATAGAGTGGACAACATGAATTGAAGTCAAAACTTGAAAACGCGTTTTTATGATCCATAAATAAGTTATTTTTTTCTCCCAAGCTCAATGGATAATGGGTCACGTTCTATCCTTCTTTAATTAAATACTAAACCCGGTTCACAAGAGTTTGAACTAACGACGTGCGTGCACCTCATGTCCATGGTGTACTACCTTTGCTATTATTTTTAAGGCATTGAGGCCATAGTTCTCAAAACAAACTTTCCAACACTACCAACCACAAATATTTTATCTAAAAGCATAACTTAAAAGTTGTTACATCAAACTTTCAACCTCACTTTCAAGTTCAAATCGAAAGTATTTTTTTGTGTTAGTAAGAACTACTCTTCTACAACACTAAACTAAGTGCCCGTTACCAACAAGTATATCTATATTACCTACAAATGCTAGAGCCCATAGGAACATAATTGGCATTATCTTCTTTTATTTTGATGGGTAAACAGGATTAAACTTACAAGAAATAATTAGTGAAGTTTACAACTTTTATGAACCAATAATTCTTTTGTAAATCAATGTCTTATGTTATCACATTATACCACCCCTTTTATCTTTGTCGTTATTGTGTTTTTGCGCTGAAAGCTCATGTGCTTGTGATTATTAATCTCACAACAATTCTTTTATCACATTACATCTTAAACACGTGTCTAATGTTAGCACAAAAAATGTTAGTTTTATTCCATTTAGAATACATACTAAGAGTTGTCATAACCACTTAGTCTGATCACTAATCAAATCATGTACAACAACTACTCTAATTAGTTGCCTTTTACGTTATGGCACCATCATCAATAATAACTCATCATTACTAGCGAATTTTGAGATTCACATTGCATCATAGTACGCTTCTAGAGTTCTAGTACAACAAAATATTTAATTTATTTAATACTATACTTGTGGAACCTCTCATGCATCACAAATTATTTCTTTCCAAATAATGCATCAAGAAGCAATATATCAAAAAGAACATGAGAAATATAATAAATTATAAGAAATTAATAATATATTTTCTTACTATAACGTTACATTCAATCATATCACAATTGATCAACTATCACAAATATGTATATGCAAAATTTATTAACACATAATTAAAAAAACTTAGATTTTATTTTTTCTTTTCTTACGAATATGTAGCACAACCTCAACAAAAGACATCTACACTTTCAAATATTTCATAATAGAGAGATAACTTTTTCATTAAGTTTTCAGTTTGATATGTAAATACAAATTTATAAATTAAAATGTCAATATATTCATCTCTTTGTTTTCAACAAAAAACCTTTTGTATATTGTAACGACCTGTTTAGTCGTTTTGAGCAGCAGATTTTATTTCTGGAAAAACAAGCTGAGACGACGGATCCCACAACGGACCGTCACGGTCACGACGGACCGTCGAGGGGGTCTCGTTCCAAAACACTTAGAATTCTAAAATTTGGGTACTGAAATCGACTCTCTGAAATTCGTGACGGAATGGCAGGACGGACCGTCACAGGCGTGACGGGCCGTCACAGATCCTTTAGTGAAATTTAGTATCTGAACTTTGTGACGGAAGCAGCAGGACGGACCGTCGCAGGCACGACGGGCCGTCATAGACTGCGTAATCCCAGGCTGGGTCGGATTTCTGTTTAATATTTTAAGGGGCGTTTTGGACTATTCCTGCTTATAATTATAAAGTTAGTGGTTGGATATTAATAATCCAATTTCTTGAGGGTTAAAGGAGATAACCTTAAATTAATTAGTGGGTTATTTTTGTCATCTTTTATACTTAATTATATGCTAATTAGGGTAAAAGAAAAAGGGTTTGAATAAGAAAGATAGAAAGAATAGAGAGAAGAGGGAGAAAGGATCGAGAGAGAGAGGAACAAAGAAGAAAGCAAAGATTTTGAGGATTAGCTTGCTTGATCACAATTCTTCGGTGGAGGTAGATTATGGTTTTTATGCTATTCGTAGTAAACTCTTAATAGCGAATGATATGTATTGGGTAGTATTGTAAACCCTTCTATATGCTTAATTGTGTGTTTGCATGATGTGATGATATAGTTGTGATGAAATAAGCATGATGAAGCTATTGAATCCTAAATCTTGAAAACCTCTTGTTAATGATGATGCCTTGGTATAAGAGAAGGCTTGATGAACTAAAAGAATGAGGTTAGGGGATCGGGTGTCACGAACCGACACGTAGTAATAGGGGGATCGGGTGTCACGAACCGACACATAGTAATAGGGGGATCGGGTGTCACGAACTGACACGTAGTATTAGGGGGATCGGGTGTCACGAACTGACACGTAGTAATAGGTGGATCGGGTGTCACGAACCGACACGTAGTATTAGGGGATCGGAGTGTCACGTTCCGACACAAGAGGAATAAAGAGAGTGAATCTTGAATTATGGTAATATACTCAGATTTAATGAACCTATTTTCCCAAATGAGTATGATGGGGAGGCGTGAGTCCTCATTGATGTGCTTGGTGTTGTGACACAGGGTTATGGTAATTGTAAATGTCGCATGTTGAGTATTGTAGTTGATTTTACGATATTATGTGATATATATTGTTTTCTATTTTGAGTTGGCCGATGATATCTACTCAGTACTCGTGTTTTGTACTGACCCCTACTTGTATGTTTTCTTTTTGTTCACTGTGGAGTGCGGCAAACGTACTGTCGTCTTCAACTCAACCGCAACTCTAGCCAGTCTTCATCAC